AAGGAAGGCATAAAGCAGCAGTGATTTTTTTTTTAAAGATTTTATTTATTTGTGAGAGAGAGAGAGAGAACACAAGCAGGGGGAGCGGCAGGCAGAGAGAGAAGCAGGCTTCCCGCTGAGCAGGGAACCCGATGCAGGACTTGATCCCAGGACCCTGGGATCATGACCTGAGCCGAAGGCAGACGCTTAACTGACTGAGCCACCCAGGTGTCCCAAGCAACAACGACTTTGAAGAGGCCCAGTGGGTTGTTTCTGTTGGCCCCTCCTCTCCCTGTTACTCCGATGAAGCTCATTTATCAAAGTCCTCTCCTGTCCAACCCCGTGACTCCTCTCTTCCCCTGGCCTCAGTCACAGATGGCTTATTTATTTAGCTAGTTATTTACTCCTTCCCTTATGCCATTAAAAAAAAAAAAATGAACCAGCTTATAAAAATACACAGAAGAGGGGCGCCTGGGTGGCTCAGTCGTTAAGCATCTGCCTTCGGCTCAGGTCATGATCCCAGGGTCCTGGGATCGAGCCCCGCATCGGGCTCCCTGCTCGGCAGGAAGCCTGCTTCTCCCTCTCCCTCTGCCTGCCGCTCCCCCTGCTTGTGTTCTCTATCTCTCTGTGTGTCAAAGAAATAAATAAAATCTTAAAAAAAAAATACACAGAAGATGGAATAGATGACCAAGATAAGCCATGAAGAAGACAAGGAAAATAGCTGATAGAGCCGGCAGTAAGATGAGCACACGGAAATATCTATCATGTGATGTTGTTCGGTTACTACAGGTGGGCTGCAAATATGGATCTAAGAGTCCTAGAAGCCAAAGAAAAGAGAAAAAAAATTTAAAAAACAAAGAACAGAGAAAAAAGAATCAGGCAGAAGGAGTACATTGGTGAGTTAGGAAAAGACCTGCCTTTCTAAAGCAGAGCCCAGAGGGAGGTGAGTGATCACAGTTCACGCTTGCTGGCACATGGGCCAGACTCAGTTAAATGCTCTTCTGACATTTTCTCATTCGATCCTGGCAATCTGGTGGGGTAGATACTATTATGATGCTCATTTTACAGATTAGAAAACTGACAGTTTGAGAGTAAGTTCGTAATTTGCCCAAGACCAGAGAGTTAGTCAGTTACAGAAAGGAGATTCAAACCCAGGCTATCAGGCTCCGTGTGCGGGTGCCCCACCAGGAAGTTCACCCTGCACGGGGGTATCTGCATCAGACGCAGTAGCGATTTTTGTAGGCCTGTGTCTCCAGGCAGTGGATCAACTGGTGTTTTCTCAAACCATAGTCAGTCATTCTCATGCATCCCAAACCTGCTCTAGTACAAATTATTTAAACACCAGGACAAACCTGAAGCTGAAGTCTTTGGTCTCTCCACTCCCATGCCTATGTCAGGAACTACTCTTACAGCACTCTGGGATCACAGAACACACTAAAGGACAACTTCACCTGCCTTGTGGTTCTTTTCTTCCAACGTGTCCTTTGTGCAATGCTTCAGGAATTGGATATTCCCTCTATTCAAGACCTCATGCTATTCAGGCAGCAGTTCTCAAACTGCCAGCACACAACGTCAAGCTAATGCAGACCACCAATTTTAGGTAAAAATGTATTTAAATTTTTAGTATTAAAAACATCATAATCTTTTTTTTTTAAGTAGGCTCCATTCCCAACATGGAGCCCAATAGGAGGCTTGAACCCACAACCCTGAAATCAAGACCTGAGCTGAGGTCAAGAGTCAGACACTTAATCGACTGAGCCACCCAGGTGCCCCCAAACATCATACTCTTTTAAAAAGCATTTTACTATGGAGAAATTCAGACACATATGAAAGCAGAATAATATAATGAACCTCCACATACCCATCACTCAGCTTCGACAATTATTGACTTGTGGCCAATCTTGTTTCAACAATACTCCCATCCACTTCCTCTCTCCCATATTGTCCTGCAGCAAATCCCAGAGATCATATCATTCCATCCATAAATATTTCAGTGTCTCTAAAAGATACCAATCCTTCCTTTTAACATTACAAGACCATTATCACAACTAACAGTATTCATAAGAGTTCCTAAATACCATCAAATATCAAACGTCCAGTTGTCTCAAAAATGTTTTAAGTCTTTCTTGTTTGCATCAGTATCCAAATAAGGCCTACACATTCCTATCAGAGGGAACATTATTTTAAATAACAGTTATCATTTCATGCATTTGGACTAGGACATCATTCTCAATCTCTTCCCCAGGTACCTGTCCTATTTGGTCAGGTTCTTTACTCCCTACTCCATCCACTTCTTTCGTTACTCTTTATTTTTACTAAGTTAAGCACTCCCAACTCAGTTATAGGTCACTGGAAGCAGCATCCAGAATCTGATGTCTCTTTACAATGGCCATGGATTCAGAAATGATAAATTTCTCACTGAAAACACTTTTGGCCCAATTATAAAACAAAATTCAAAATCCAGATGGATGTATGCTTTAACTTGGGAGACAGGAACAAAATGGGTCCCTCTCATCCACATGGGCCCCGGAGGGCATCTGTCCAACATTGCAAGAGGTTCTAATCTATGTGCAATAATAGATTCTTCTCCTCTTAAAGTGAAGACAAGTATCAGACAGATATTGGGAAAGAGTCAAACTCTACTCAGAGCAGATTGGACCTCAGTTTGGTCTTATGAAAACAATCTGATTTCTCAGCTAATGTTTTCTTTTTTAAGGGGCTGAGTGTATCCTTTGGATACTATAGGCCAATGCCAGAATTGATAAGGTATCTGAGACAAATCACCTGTGGACATGCCGTGATGGGCAAAGTCAAGTTCTCATCCAAAGTTGTGGAAGGATCCTCTGCCGGCAGAGGGGAAAGCGGAGGGGTAGGGATCAGACCCTTGGAAAGGGCAGTTAGGAGGACACTGAAAATGTCCAGGCAGGAGGTGATGTGCTCCTGAAGTCAGGTAAGAACAGGACCAGACAGAAGGGGAAGGGTCAGTACAAGAGAAGCGCACACGCACACACACACACACGGAACCCCCTTCCAAATTGCCCATAGCCTTGCAATGGAAAGAGCTGGCTGATCTGTGGATCAGAAAACATACCCCATGTGAAATACCCACTTTGTAGTTAGAGCAACAAGGGTTCTCGACACTGGCTGCACATTAGAATCACCTGGGGAGTTTGAAAATACTGTGCCCAGGCCCCAGCTCAAGCCAGTTGAATCAGAATCCCGGGGTCTTTTTACACATCTCCCCACCATCCCCCCCATTAGTGACAGAGGGGATGCTAATGTACAGCTAGGGCTGAGAACCTCCAGGCTAGGCATGGACAGCAAGGGCTCTTTCAGCACAAAATCACCTGCCTGGACTCCTGGTTGGAAGTGTTCACAGCTTGAAGCTTAGCTTGGCTCAGCTTGGACCCCTGTTGCTTGGGGTGAACCGACCTGACCTTTGGAACTCAGCCCTCTGCGTGGAGACCGGCAAGGACAGCCTGGCGGGGGAACAGGAAAGGGAGCCAGGTGTCCACACATGTGCTTCCCTCTGCCTGTGGGAAGTGATATTTCTCACACTTATACGTGTCCCGTTCACGAGGGGATGTTTGTCAAATGCAGATGCCTGGGTCCCACTCCCTGCTACAGTCAGAAGGCTAGGCTGCGGCCCAGGAATCTGCTTTTTAACGGGTCCCATGTGACCCTAACAGAGGGCTCTCAGCACACATGGGCACGCGTGCACACAGCCTGGAAGCCCCGAGAGGCCTGCGGGAGCAATGGTCTGTGGGCCCCCACGAGGGACACATTCAGGGCAGGGAATCCCTTTCATCCTGGACCCTGGCCCAGAAGAGTCTGAATAGTTAGGACTGAGGCAGCGCCCAGCAGTAAGTGTTAGAAATGATTAGAACTTCCATTTCTAGAAATGGTTAAAATTGGATAGTGGGGCACTATCCAACTGGGGGCCTTCATGGAAAAGAAGTGGACCTGCCCCAAGTTTTCTTTGTATAATAGAAAGGGAAGTGAAAAGGAAGGGCCCTTGGCTCACTTACCCCCTATTTCCACCAAAAGGGAAACTGGGGGATTTTCCGAGGCTGCCTGCTGGCAGCAAGTGCAGGAGCGAGAGGGGGAGCCCAAGAAGCACCTCTGGTCTCTCAGAGAACTTCCGTTTCAGGTTTGAGGATTCCTGTGCCAGAGGCTCAAATGTTCAGTGTGCATGGGCTTAGGAAAGGTTCCCACCTCTCCTGGTCCTTTAGTCCCTTCCCGTGGGAGGGGAGCCACCCTGCACTCCTCCCACTCTCACCCCTGGTTACTGGGGTGACCCAGGGGCTGCTGTACAGGAAGGAAAGGAAGCCCAGCCAGCAAGCTGCTCTCCTGGCTTTTTCTTTTCTCTAAGCCAGGAGAGGTTGCAGAAGGGCGTTCGGCACCTGGTTTCCTAATCCCCCAAGGCAAAGGCAGCTCAGGCCCCGAAGCCTCAGGCTCAGTTCCACCGTTCTCCCTAGAGAAACATGGGAGTGGGCTCAGAGAGGCCCAGGCCATGTCTCCACGCTCTGCCCAGCTCTCCCCCTACAAGAGGGGGAAGCCAACACTGCTGTTCCAGAGCAGGCTTCAGTCAAAGGGGCAGCACCCTGTACCAGGACAAGAGTCCTTCTCGGAAGAGGTGTGGGTGTTCGCACCCCACACTCCAGAAGTGGGCTAGGGCTGGTGTTTTAGCCAGCTAAAGCAGCCACACAAAATGCCAGACTGGGTGGCTTACATAAGAGACACGCATCTCCCTCGGTTCTGGAGGCTGGAGAGAGGCTGGCCCGGTGCAGCGGGGAGAGTACTCAGCTCTTTCTTCGCCAGTCCCAATCTTGGACCTCCTCCAAGCATTCTGATAAAAAAAAACAAAAACAAAAAGAACCCAAAAAACCTAATCTGCTCTAAAGTAGGAGTCACCAGGACCAGGAATAATCCAGCCCTGATGTCAGGATTTGCTGTAGAGTCTTTAAATGTGTAATAGGGAGTTCACAACGTTGAAGCAAAAACTTGGGGAGGTATGTGGGTTAAGTTAAAAGCACAATTTTATATTTTCTTATCAAACAACTTTACTTGAGGCAACAACTGAAGTATAATTTAATTCAACAGGAAATATCACACTTGGAGGGAAAACATAGAAAAGAAAAAAAAAAACTGAAATTAAAGCCAAACATTCTTTCCAAGGCACAGCACTGACATTTCCAGATTGACAGCAGAATGAGTTTGTTTCCATGAAACAAAATCATGAGTCCAAAGTCTGCCTCTGAAACAGTCTTCCACTCATCCCCATTTCTCAAGGCTCAGGGAACGATGCTTGTGGCCTTCCTCAGGGCCAGGTAGCCAGTGACGACGTCGGAGGGCAGCCTCCGGATGTAGGAAAACTCTTCGATGGTGCTGAACCGCAGTTTGCTCTGGGGGTCAGTGTAGTTGGCCTGGGTGGGAAACCAGCACAGAGAAAGGCAGAACGTTGGTGGTCATGGTGAATATTTGAAGTTCAAAGTTAAAAAATTTTTTTCTATTTTACTTAAAGTGAAGTATCTTCATTTTGTCTTACTCTGTCACCAAGAACACTAAATTGCTCGTTTTGGCAAAGACTTGTTAATCTTCCCAGACTTGAGAAATACTTCAGGGTACGGATGGGAGGAAGAGGAGTAACCTCGTCAGCACTAGGACTCTTCTGGTGGGTGCCGCAAGAGCTACAGGCAATAGGCCCCAAACGGAATTCCTGATGATCGTCCCTCCCTGGCCCCAGCCTTCAAACTCCCACCCGCTTCCGACAGAGGTTCCAGCTCCATCCCCCAAGGTGGGACCAGGGGCTTGCCAGGCACACCCGCCCCTCCCTGTTACACCCCACTTTGGAGCGCTCTCCTGCTCCACGCCCTGCCCACGCCACTCCCATGGCTCCCTGGGCCCTGCCCACGCCACTCCCATGGCTCCCTGGGCCCTGCCCACGCCACTCTCATGGCTCCCTGGGCTACACCGCAGTGCTGATGGGCCACCCACGCCCCCACCCCCACTGGAAGGGACTGCCACCCCACAGCTGCAACCAAAGTCATCTCCACAACTTGCACTTCTGATCGTGTCATTCCTCGGTGGGAAGTCTCTCAGTAGTTCCTCTCAAGTCCTCAGCATGGCTCCTCAGACCCTGCAAGCTGGCCTGGGCCTTCTTCCTTCCCAAGCCTCTTCCTCAGCCACACGTCCCCACTCTGGTTCCAGCTGCCCTGGCAATCAGTCCCTCCCTGATTCATGCCCCCTTGCCCTTCCCTGGGGAGGGGCCACTCTGCTCCCTAATGGCCTGCTCATCCTGCAGGGCTCAGCCCCCAGTCATCTCATCAGGGAAGCCTTTTCTGCTCCCCCACTCTCCCCACATCTGTCTCCTGTAGAATGCTTCTGTCTCTTGCTTTCACGTTTATTATCTGCATGACTCTAAGCAAGGTCTAGGCTGAGAGGTTCCATGGGACAGGAACCCTGTGGTTTGCTTATCACGGCATCCCTGCTCCTAGTGGAATGCAGAGCGCACAGTGGGCCCTCAGGTAGTGTCTGTACAATGAGTGATGAATGAATGAATGAATGAACGAACGAATGAACAAATGGATGATCGGGACAATCATAGAAAGAGAACTCACGTCTCACTGACATCAAAATTCTCTTCTGGTCTGTGTTCCCCATGTGCAAAATGGAGGAAATAAATTCCCTTACTGTATACCTCAAGTCAAATGGCTTCTACAGATTTTGAAACAGAAAACATGAGGGTGAGTCACTTGGAACTCCTTTAAAAAATTATAAAAGATGCCATTAAAGTCTAGACAGATAACGTCCAGTTACTGCAGTGCAGACCGTCTGTGTGGACCCTGGCCGGGCGGCAGTGCTGTGTCACCAAAGAAGGGAGGGGAGGCCAAAGAAGCAACAGCTGAGGGGAACTTAGTCACAGGGTTCTCACACTCTACAAAGTCCTCAATTCTGCCTCAGGGGATCTCCCTAAGGTAGTTAACATCTGCGTAGCAGGAAAAGGAGATTATTCCTCAAGATTAATAAAGCTCTCCATTAAATAAAACCTTGATCCTTTGGCTTCGTCTAGATCTTGCCTTTCTGTCCCACGTTTCCTTTAATGACAGTAAGATTAAGGAAGGCTTAACCAGAACAACAGCCACAAGCCCCTCTGGAGAACTGGCCATGAGGCAGTGAGGTGCGTGGACTGGGACAGGAGAGGCTCCCCTGCAGCTGCAAGCAGGGGGGCAGGCCTGCGCAGCTGGCTTTGATCATCTGGCCTCCAGAAAGGAACCAGCCTCGGCCTGGCTCCATTTCTGTGGCGGCCTCACTCCTACCACCAAACTGTGCTGAGCCGGCCCGCCCAAGTTCAGACCTCACTGCCAAGAAGGCTGCTGAGTAAACAAGGCACAATACACAGATATCCTGGCACCCACACAAAGGTCACCAACGAAAGCTTGCACAGACCGGACCTGACCTAGTATTCTGAACAGAAGGGAGGATGCCAAGTGACACCCCAGCGTTGAACGAGTAAAGAACTGCACTTCTCCAGTCTGCCTTCCTCTGGCTTCCATCCCCAGAGCCTGAGCCGAACAAAGGCCACCTTCCCCGCCTTCCCGGAGGATGGCAGTAAACGGCTTAAAGGCCTCCCCTGCCGCAAGGTGACAGGCGGCGCTCACTGCTCTCCCCATCTCACCCACAGCCACGGTACTTCCCATAGCTTTGGAACAGCGACTGCACACAGGTGGACCCCGCCCGCTTCCCTGCCATGCCCACGCACGGCGGCCGGCCCAGGTGCGTCTGGGTAAACAGGAGCGGGGCTTTATTTTGTAATTATGCAACTTGAACTTGCAAAAGTAACAAATGAACATATTCTAAGAAAGAAAAGAAAGAAAGAGAAAGAAAACATTATGAATAAGACTCCAGTCCCCTTTTCCAACTGCCATCCAAAAGTCCTTGCCTTTCCCTGAGGAAACCACTGTATGTGGGCACCCTTCCGGACCTTGTTTGTATATACCCTTACACACATATATAAACACACCAGGGAAATTACCCCACTATTTTTTGTGAGTGTGTGTTGGTTTTTGCTTAGGTGGTAACATGTGCTTATCTACTTTGCACCTTCAGTAAATGACACATCTTGGAAGTTTTATCCCTGCTGTTACCTACACATCAGGCTCACAGAATAGTATGAAAACATCCCCACCCCACGCCCCGGTTGACTGACCTTTATTGTGTTCCCAATATTTTGCTCATAATCCCATTTTCTCAGAATCATTTCTGCACAAAGCTCCTTGTACACCTATTTCTCTAGGGGGCGCCTACAAGGCAAATTGCTGGGGCATAGGCTTTTAGCTTCTCTGTCTCAACAGGTACTGCCAAATGTCCTCCAAAGAATCCAGATTAATGTATTCCCACCTCAAAAGGGCCGTGTATTGAGGATATCCGTTTCTCTATGTTGATGATGTTTATAATCAAACATCTTCATTTCTTTTCTGCTGAGGAGCCTTTTTCCTGATTATCAGTGAGACTGAATATCTACTTACTGATCATCTGTATGTCCTCCTTGTAACTGTCCTCATGCCCTTTTAGTCAGTCCTTCTATGGGATTGCCTTTCAATGACTTGGTAGAGTTCTTTGTATATTGAAGATTCCTTAATTCTTACATACAGTGGGGCCAGAGGTTTTAGGTTATGTATGACATGACAAGTCCTTGCCTGTAGCATAAAGGGTCTGGAACAATGCTTCTCAAAGTGATTCTCATGCCTCCTAACATGTGCAAGCCACTGCACTAGCAGATGAGCTGCCTTGAGGCAAGGTATAAAGCTACCTTCTCAGGGAGCCTCTAAGTCTGCCCTTAAACCATGGCTTCTCCAAGGAGAAATGTCCATTTGGGGCTGGAACAGAACAGCTGCTCCCACAGTAGCTCTCCTGCTATAAACAATTATTAAAATGGGTCAGATCGATGAGGTGACTATTTTCAGGCAGGAGAAAAGAGATCGCGCAAGGCCACAACACTGCTCATAAGGGTGAAGTCCCCTCTGAGGTTAGAAGGAGACACGCGCCCTGAATGGATGGCAGAAGAACCCACCACACACACACACACACACACACACACACACACACACACACACACACGTGCGCTCACCATGTTACAGTACCTCTACTCTGCCTGTTGTTTTTTACGATCACTGTATTTAAGGGTCTATGTTAAAAAGTTTATAGCACAGGGGCGCCTGGGCGGCTCAGTCGGCTAGGTGTCCGACTCTTGATCTCAGCTCAGGCCTTGATCTCAGGGTTGTGGGTTCAAGCCCCACATCGGGCTCCACACTGGGTGTGGAGACTACTTTAAAAAAAAAAAGTCTTTAGTACACGGAGGAGTGTGTGCTCTGCGGAGAAGCTACAACATACAACTGATTCGGAGAGAATAACATTATTTTCAAAAATATAAGAAACACTCAAATCTTTCCCAGCATAAAATGTGTATCACTGGTTTAGTCAGTTACAGAAGTTTGGAGGTCATACATTTTCATAAAAATGTAAAGCATTTAAATGATATGAGTGAGTTTTAAAAAGTGAAATGGCCCATTTTAGCTTAACTATATTTTTAAAAGTACAATCATCTCTAAAATATGAGAAATTTTTTAAATTTCAGCAGTAAAAAAAGAAATTGTTGTTTCTTTCATGTTATCTCATGTGTTAACAAGCAGAGGAAGGGGAGGTGAAAGCCGGGTCTCCCACCTTCTGGAGCACTCTTCTCTCCGGGCCGCTCACACAGAGGCCCCAAGTTGCGGCCACTCTAAGATAAGCATGTGAGCTCTTCAGCACAAACCCAGTACCCAGGCTCCAGGCAGGGTCAGGGGCGGCCCCTGTCAACACTTTCTAAATGGTATTGTGAAATCTCCTTTCCAACTCAATGCTATGAGACCTAGAGATGGAATTATACTCACAAGAAGACCTGAAACATCAGAATACTTCTTAGCTGGTTTAAAGGAGGGAGGAGCGTCAATACTGAAGTCTGGGGGGAGAAAAAAGAAAGAAGATAACTAAGCTGGCTTTAAAATATTCAGATCCCATTCCTTTTTTTCCTCTGAAAATGCTGTCGGATGATATTTCTGAAATTTTTATTCTGTGATTAAGTCCTCACAGAATTCTCTGGGGAAGTAATGCAGTAGGTCACAGACGAAGCGCAGGCTCTGGATCGAGTTCTGCCCTGTCCCTGGGGCCCCTCCACTCCAGCCGAACCACCGGAAAGCTCATCTGCCCACAGGCCACTCTCACTGTTGCAGGCTACACAGGCTGTGGGCGATGCCAAACAACCCACTAATTGGATCTGAGCATCCGGACACCGGAATGTCCACACCCAGACACTGACTAGCTCACTTGTCACCCATCTGAGTCACCCCCATGAAAGATGTGCTGTGGGACAGGAGATGGAGGGAACTTTGACCTGTTCTTTCCAGTGTGGTTGAACAGGACACACAACAGTGCTTTACGTGGATGTGAAAATACTGCAGCGTAAAGCATTTACTCTGACACCAACGGCACAGAGAGTACAACAGAGTTACCCTTTAAGATGGTTGTTAGAAACCCTCCTAAATCTTGGGCAATCCTGTTCCTGGAAATACATTTTAAGAGTAGACTCCTGAATAAGAAGTTTGTCTGACAGAAACACCACTGTTATCATATCAGGACCGATTCCTCCAGACTAAAATGTGAACAGTGCCACTAACAACCACACATCCATGACAACACAAACAGGTTCAGCACACAGTTATGTGCACAACGTCTCCTATGCTGATGCATCCCTCCAATCCCTGAGCTACAAGTTGTTTCCTACATTAACGCAAACACAGGCAAGTCACGTAGGTTTGTTACGGTTCCTACTCTGAACATTATAAACACACAGAAGGCTCTAGACAGCTCACAGTTAGGATCGTTCAGTTGCCACGGCAATGCCCTTTCAGAAGCGAGGATCTGTTTCAGATTCTTCCAGGTTCTGTTCTTCTTGCCAGCGACCGCGCCACCATGGCCAGAGTGCTGGAATGAAAGACGTGGAGCAGAAGAAACCGAAATCAGGGGAGGCTATCACTTCAGGATCTGAATCATGCTTATTCCTAATGGTAACACACCCCTCATTCTGTCAGCTCCTTTGTACCCCAAAGGGTTGGGGTTTTTTTTAAAGTATTACACTGTACACTTTAATCTTACTTATAAAAACACAAAGCTTTTGGTAGGTAGCCTGTCATGGAGTAGAAATAAAAGGGTTTTTGTGTGTGTGTGTTGTCCTTTTTTATATGTTCATAGATCACATCCTTTATTGGAACTAACTTTAGAGAATTCACTCATGAATTCCCCATTGCTTTGAAAATAAATTTATTGCAAAGTTAGATTTAAACGCATGACCACATCTCTCAACTCCCTTCTGAGGGCTGGTCCCCGCCTGGCAAATTACTGGGGATGCTGGAAAACCCAAGTAAGCCTCAACCACGGCATGGCAAGCCCCCTGGAAATTTGGGGAGTTCTATTCTGTAAATATGATAAAATAAAATGGAAAAGAATACCAAAATCTGTTGCAGGTGCCGATAATACTGTATTTTTAAAACTAATGAAAAACAAACTTCTAATGATACAATATGAATCTCTGGAATTATCATAGCTCTCAAGAATGAAAGGAAGAGTAGCCTATTTCTACTTTACAGGAACACAAGTTAGATTTACTTAATCTAATGAGGAGAACTCCTCTTTTAGTTCATTGTTTTAAGCCTCATCTAAAACTTACATAAGCCCAATGAAAAGGGATGGTGAACAATCGTGGAAATGACCCACCCTCAAAATAGTATCTTCTAACCAGTTCCACGAAGAGCACCAAAATCCTGGGGAACTGGGCCACTGGGTGAGCAACGAGAAGGGCCCTCCTCCTGCCCCCACCCTCTCCTAACAGCCCCCGGCAGGGAAGGTGGCGACTTGGACTGACAGAGAAAGGGACACGATGCCACCCGGGCTGCAGGCCCAGCAGGATCAGAGGCTGAGGTGTGGCTGCTTGGTTTTTTCATTTATAAAATACCTTAGAAGCTTACCACAAAGTTTGGATCCTTAAATGGCAATGGCTTGGCAGCTTTTTCCATAGGTCCTGAGCTGAAATCAGAGGGCACCATCTTATTCTCACTCATGGTTTCCATGCTGATACCCTTAAAATATAATGATAGTGAGTCAGTTTCTTCTAGGTGAGGTCCCTAACTCGGCTCCCAACAAGACCGAAGATGATACCACCGGACATGTGAAGGAAGACAGTGCCCCAGAGCTCTGGCAGGTGGCCTGCACCACAGAAGGGCATGCCAGACTGGGAGCAGCACCTGTTGTGCGGAAGCCACGGGAGAGACAGCCAGGACCCCAGCCGCCACGCTTCCTGGTTCCCCCATGCGCCAAGCAGTAGGAACGGCTGTCTTCCCTGAGGTGGTTCGTTGAACTCTGACAACCGCTGTTACCCCCAGTTTCCAGAAGAGAAAATTGAGGCTCAGGGATATAGGTTCAAGGCCACACAGAGATTACCTCTGGATTCAAACCCAGGTGGGGCCAATTCCAAAGCCCTCACCATCTCCACAACACCACATCGTCCCTACTCCTGCTGATCTTGTCAAACTGTGCCTTAAAACACTGAGACCAAAAAAGGTCCAGCCCCTGGAAGGGTGTCATCAGCCAGAGAACCCAGGCTACAGCTCTTCTGCTCCAGGCGAGCAACCGGATGCAGACACTGAGGAGGGGGGGGGGCTGCATGGCCCAGGGTCAGCTGGCTGCAGCCAGAGCACCCCAACAAGCAGGCTAATGTTTTAAAACAAAAAACCTTCCAAGTTCACCATCACCAAGAAAAAACAAGCCAAAGTAAGAAATTGCTTCTGATTTTTAATGCAATTTCCAGTCTTCCCAGACTGCAATAAATTATTTTTAATTGATATGTAATTTACATACAGTGAAATGCACAGATCTTTACACTTGTTTAATCCGTGTCTCTATGGAGATACAGAACATTTCTGTCATCCCAGGAAGTTCCCTCATGCCCCGTCCTAGTCAGTACCTTCCACCTCAGGGGCAACCGCTGTTGCTGTTGTGATTTCTACCACGCCACTTTTGCCGCTTTTACAACTTCATATGAAGGGAATCTGACAGCATGTACTCGTGTTTGGCTTCTTTAGTTCAGCATAGAGTTTTTAAGATTTCTCGATGTTGTTGCAGAGGTCAGTAATTTGTTTCACTGTATTTGTGTGCATTAAGCAGAGCGGTATTCCACTGTATGGATGTACAATTTGTTTATCCATTTGCTGTTGATGAACATGTGGGGCATTTCCAGTCTTCATCTATTATAAATAACGCTGCTGTGAACATTCCGTACCAGGCTTTGTGTGGACCCGTGTTTGCACTTCTCTGGGGTGGAGCGGAATGGGTGTGTGATAGGGTAAGTGTTATGTTTAACATTATAAGAAACTGCCAACTCGCTTTCCTAAACGGTGGCCCTCACTGACACTCCTAGCAGCAGTGTATGAGAGTGCTGTGTGTGTGTGTGTGTGTGTGTAGTCCATCACCCCCACCCCTGCAGTGACATCCGTGGGGGCACATGGGGGCACTCACTCTGCTGCGTAGTTCTCTGAATGGTCTCCTCTCAAACCCTTCTCAGACGCTTTGCCAGGGTCTCTGCATGTGGGCCTGTGCGCCTCCTCGGTCCACCTCTTTTGTCTGGCATGCCCCTCAACTCATCCCCCCTACCCTTCATGATCTTTCCAAAGCCCAGCTCAACGTCAACCCTGTAAGAACTAAGAGGCCTCCAATTTCTCAACCTTTTCCCACCATCCAGTGTTCCTGTGTGTCTCTCTCTCCTGCCGCACCCCCTCCCTCCCTCCCTCCCTCCCTCCCTCTCCCAGCCTCCTTCCCACAGTCCCCAGCCCTCATCTGGCACCTTCTTCAGCTGGCCTTCTCGGAGGAGGGGCTCAGTAGTGCATGCCTCTCCAGCACAGTGAAGCACTCTTAAATGCAAGCCTGATGGGGCTCCCCTCCCTAACAGCGGGCCGGCAGGCCCCACGGACCCTGAGATGAGAAGCACATCCTGGCCTCCTCTCCAGCCTTACCTTCCACTACACCTCCTTCCTGCAGTTTGTATTTTCTGGTACAAAATCCACTGAGTCATTTTCTGTATGGCACAAAGAGTTTCCCATTTTCCCATTTTCATTTATGCTTTACTAAGATTATTTTCATTGGGATTAGTCCATGTCAGTTTTAATTTTGTAACAAAGATTAGATCTAGCATTTTGTACATAACTAACTTTTATTGCCCTTGTAATTTTTCCTTCGTGGTCCTGGCATTTCTGCCAGGTACAAGTATCCTGGGAGGCCCAATTTGATGAGGAAAATTTGATTTTCCCATCACATTTTTTTGAATTTTTTAAAAGATTTTATTTATTTATTTGACAGAGAGAGACACAGCGAGAGAGGGAACACAAGCAGGGGGAGGGGGAGAGGGAGAAGCAGGCTTCCCGCAGAGCAGGGAGCCCGATTCGGGGCTTGATCCCAGGACCCTGGGATCATGACCTGAGCCGAAGGCAGATGCCTGACGACTGAGCCACCCAGGCGCCCCTTTCCCATCACATTTAATCAATAACCCACATTACCTTGCATAGTTTTAGCCAGCTGTCAATGTTATTTTGGGTTGACTAGTGGTAAGACCAGTATCTATCATAAATTAGATATATGATGGATAGTTTGTATTTATGTCTTAGTCAAGGAAAAAACAGCAGGGAACAACAGACCAGAAGAAGGAGAGACCAAAGAGAGAGGTGAGCAGACGGGGGAAGAGAGAGCCTCAGAGCGGTTGCACATCCTGTGTCACGGTGTGGCTTGCTCTTCCATCCCCATCATCTAACTGGATCAGACTCTACTGTATGTGTGTCCTGAGGAGGAGCACAGAAGGAACAAGGGGTTGGGCGCCTGGGTGGCTCAGTTGGTTAAGCGACTGCCTTCGGCTCAGGTCATGATCCTGGAGTCCCGGGATTGAGTCCCGCATCGGGCTCCCTGCTCAGCAGGGAGTCTGCTTCTCCCTCTGACCCTCTTCCCTCTCGTGCTCTCTATCTCTCATTCTCTCTCTCAAATAAATAAATAAAATCTTAAAAAAAAAAAAAAAAAAAAGAAGGAACAAGGGGAGGCTAGAACGCCCGTGCTACTGAACTGAAATCAGAGGTTCGCAGTGTGGACTCAGGCTTTAACACAGCTTAGGCAGAGAAACTGAGAAACAGATACAGAGTATGGGGGGGGGGGTACACCATCCCTATCCTTCCTAGCTCTCTCCATGGAGACAGCTGGAAACAACAGGCACACCTGTGCTCAGATCCTGGTTTCTAAATGCGATTCTCCAAGAACCACTGATCCTTAAAAAAGTAGCTCGTTCTAGGGCCGGGGCAGGAAAGTACAGGATGAACCTTGTGGTTCGAGAAAGTAAGAAAATAGCTGTATCAGTTGGCTAGGGCTGCCCTGACAAAATACCACAGACTGGGTGGGTTAAACAACAGACATGTATTTTCTCACAGCTCTGGAAACTACAAGTCCAGATCAAGGTGTCGGTCGGCGGGGTTGGTTTCTCCTGAGGCCTGGGTCCTTGGGGCTTGTAGAAGTCTGTTTTCTTGCTGTGTCCTCACATGGCCTTTCCTCTGTACACTCCCCTCCTTGGTGTCTCTTCCTCTTATATGGACAACAGTCGTATTGGATTAGGGCTCCACCTTTATGACCTCATTTAACCTTAATTGCCTCTAACAGCCCTATCTCCAAATACAGTAATGTTCTGAGGTATACTGGGGGCTAGGACTTCATATGAATCTCAAAGGGACACAATTCAGTTCATAGCAGCACTCAAAAAATGATGGGGGTCTGTTAAAGCACAAAGAAGCCAGTTTGGAGAGGTTCCCATAAGCGAAGGACAATTTGAGCAACAAAATAAATAACGCTGACCCAGAATATATAAAGAACTGTTATCACTCAACAACGACAATTTTATTTTAAAAAGGGCCAAGGATTTCAATCAACATTTCTTCTTTTATGGACAGCATAAAAGATGTTCCACATCATCAAAACCACAATGAGATACCACTTAACACCCACTGGGATGGCCACAATCAGACACTTCATAACATGTCAGCAAGGATGTGGAGAAACTGCAACCCTCACACGTTGCTGTGAGAAAGTAAAAGAGTGTGGTCACTTTGAAAAACAGTTTGGTGTTTCCTCAAAATGTTAAACAGAATTATCATATGACCTAATAATTCAACTCCTAGGTATCTACCCAAGAGAATTTAAAAAATAAGTCTATGCAAAAACATATGCATATTCATAGAAGTAGTTCCCATAATAGCTAAGACGTGCAAACAACCTACATGTCCCTCAACTGATGAATACACAAAATGTGGTATATCCGCACAATGGAATATTATCCAACCATAGAAGGGAATAAAGTACTGATCCATGCAACAACACGGATAAGCCTTGAAAATATTATAGTAACTGACGGGCGCCTGGGTGGCACAGTCGGTTAAGCGTCTGGCTCTTGATTTCAGCTCAGGTCATGATCTCAGGGTCATGAGATCGAGCCCCTGCATTGGACACCACGCTCAGAGCGGAGTCTAACTTGAGTTTCTTTTCTCTCCTCCTATTCCTCCCCATCACACACTCTCTCTCAAATAAATAAATGAATCTTAGAAAAAAAAAGGAAAGAAAATATTATGGTAATTGAAAGCAGCCACAAAAGGCCACATATTATGATTCCACTGGCACGAGGCTACAGCAGTCAAAGATCAGAGGTGGTCAGAGGCTCAGAGGAAGGGGGAATGGGAGTGACTGCTAACAGGTAAAGGGTTTCTTTTTGGGGGTCGTGGAAATACTATAAAATGAGATGGTAGTGGTGGTTACACAACTCGGAATATACTACAAACCACGTAAGTGCACATTTTAAGAGGGTGAATTTTATGGTATGTGAATTATAACTCAATAAAGCAGTTACAAATAAACAAATTTATGGATGAATGAATAAAGCTAGTCTCAAAGTATCTCCCCACAGGATACTTTACTGCAAACAGGAAAACAGTAACTTCGCAATGGAGAGACCTGGCAGACAATACCTTACTAAGTCCTCAAAGCTAACGCTGTCAGTAACAGAACATAGGCCATCGTGTGCCATGACATGATGCATTGAGAAGGGGACAGCGTCACTTCTGTATTCTTGCCAAGAATGTATTAACCACATCTGATCATGAGGAAATGTCAGACAAGCCCAAACTGAGGAACATTCTATAAAATAAGTGACCAGTACTCTTCAAAAGTGTCAAGGTCGTGAAAGATAGAGACCAGAGAACTGTTCTACATAAAAGGAAGCTAAAGACACATGATAACACAACTCGTGATCCTAGAATGGATCCTGGACCCAACCAAAGACAAGAACACAGTCTATGGATTAGGGGTCAGTGTTGCTTCAGTGTTAATTGCCTAAATTTGAAGGCTGTTCTATTGTTATAGAGGAGAACGCCTTTGGTTTTAGGAAATCCACACTAAAATATTTAGAGGATTTAAAAAAAAAATACAGTGGCCAAGAGAAACCTCTCCCCTGGGTACGCCCTACTGCTAACCTGACAGCGAATGAGCCAGGGGTGCCACAGACCTCAAGAGGAAGCTACGGCTGGCAGGTGGGTCAGGAAGAGTGACTGTCACCTGCTCTCCTGAGGCTGTGGTTCAGGAGCAGAGGAGGAAGCCTTGCTCACTGGCTGGATGGCACATGAGATGAGCAGGTCTAAGGAAACCGGCCAGTGTCAGAAGTAGCAAAGTGGTCTCTCCTCCAAGGAATCGAGTGATTCATAAGGGTAGCCACGGCGCTACTCCATGAGGAGCAAGCCGATGGGCAGGGACCGTGAGGAGGCTGGCCTATAGGTGCCCTCAAGTACATGAGAGAGAGAAAGACAGCCTTAAGAACTTCGCAGGGAGCATCGCGTCAGAACAGAAAAGCCTGGGGCGCCTGGGTGGCTCGTTAAGCGTCTGCCTTCGGCTCAGGTCACGATCCCGGGGTCCTGGGATCGAGCCCCGCATCGGGCTCCGTGCTCCGCGGGAGGCCTGCTTCTCCGTCTCCCGCTCCCACTGTTTGTGTTCCTGCTATCGCTGTCTCTCTCTGTCTCTCTCTGATAAATAAATAAAATCTTAAAACAACAACAACAACAACAACAACAACAAAACAGAAAAGCCAGACCACTAGGGACAACTCAGGGGAAACAGGCAGAAAGTGACAGGTTTCCTGGGGCCAGATACATTTAAGTTTGCAACCTTACTGTTGCAGTTTTTCATAAAGAAAATATGACTGCTTATGTAATGCTTCCATCTGGGAGAAAATACACAAACGGAACTGCTAACGAAGCCAGGGGCAGATCCCAAGGGGGGAATGGGGGAGCAGGCCCCTGGGCCCCCAACAGTGATTACGGAACGCGCCCCACTGGCGACCACCATCCTCAAGCAATGGCCTTAGCTCTTCCTCCTGTGAAGGAAGGGCACAGAGACCGCATCTCTCCCTTTCTCTAGATGCCCCTTCCCTGATTCCTAGTGGGTAAGCTCCAAGTGCTGTGTGCACAGTGACATCCCGGGAAGGAATCAGGGCGATCTTGGATGTAGGCCATTCCCAGGCCCCAGGGACAGGCAGGAGAATGCTGGTAGGCAGAAAGGCCTCGCTGAGACTGGGGAGGCGGTGCTGCCCCTGAGGCCACCGAGAGAAGCAGGTACCTCAGCAAGTGTATGTGGGCTGGCAGGTCTGGGAGCTCTGCCAGGGGAGAGGATGCACCGTCAGACAGGTGCATCTGCTGGGAAGAAGGGGAAGGTGTGGGAGAGAGTGTCAGAAGTCTGCATCACCATTCCGGGCAGCAGGCCAGAGAAGAGGCAGCAAGGGCATGGAGAGGATGCACGCAAGCACTGAGTTTCAAAGCGGACCCCTCCTGCTCATTTGGTCCCTCCATCCCGCCCTTGTCAGTAGGGCTGGTGAGGAGCCACGCGGAAGAAGGGGCAGAGAAAGGAAGCCATCCCAACAAGAACTGAGTCGCATCATTCCAGAGCTACATCCTGCCTGTGAAACAGGACTCTCTTCCCTCTCAGACCAAGATCTAAAAGAACACCCCCCTCTGGGCCCAGAACCGTGTGTTGTGCCATTCCATCCTCCTCAACCCCACCCTGCATGATACCGCACCCTCTTTCCCCACCCTGGACTTCAGCCGTGCTGAGACTCTGGTGCCTATTACTGAGGAATGAGAGGGAGCGGCCTTCAGTCAAAGGGAGGATCAAGTCTGTGAGGCTGGAGCACAAGAAAATAAAATTTTAAATGATGTAGTTTCCACATTTTTAAGCCACTGTTAACACTAAGGGACTTTATGAGATGAACCATCCCATCCCCGACACACAAACACCCTATGAAGAAGAGAGAAGTAATGCTTAGCATTCAGGGCTGTCCCCTCTTTGCAGCTTGAGAAGAGATGATGCAAGTCCCAGGAAGGAGAAACCTGGCCCTAACAAAGCAGCACCCGCCTGCCTCTAACAGAGACTACAGTCAACAAGGCCTCCACTCGCCAAATAAACAGCTTCGTTTCTCCAGACAGCAACCTGCATAACTGACTCAGACGTGAGGATAGCGTGGTCACAAAGAAGGGAGACAAATGTCCTTTGTCTTGTCACTGGAAAGTCAAATGCCCAGTTACATCGATCTAACAGTATTCTAGAATAAAATCACTGAGCCTAATCTAGAAATGCAATGTTGTAGTAGAGTGACTTAGAATTGTGAGAAGCAACCTAAATATTCGATAAAGTCAATTAAATAAGAGCACTCAATTCCTCGAGAAGCCTGTCAACATAGGGAGATTCGTGAAATAACGCTGAGTGAAAAGCAGGGCTCACAATGTTATACATCGAGGACAATAATGAAAAACTACCTCCACGTAGAAAACACCGCTCAGTCGTTAAGCATCTGCCTTCAGCTCAGGTCGTGATCCCAGGGTCCTGGGATTGAGCCCCGCGTCGGGCTCCCTGCTCAGCAGAGAGCCTGCTTCTCCCTCTCCCATTCACCCTGCTTGTGTTCCCTCTCTCACTGTCTCTGTCAAATAAATAAATAAAATCTTAAAAAAAAAAACAAAACACAAATTATAGTAGTTGTCAGGGAAGAAGTCGGTGACTTCTTATGTCCACTTTAAAAACAGGAAAAAGGGGGATTGCATGGGTGGCTCAGTCGGTTGAATCGGACTCTTGATTTCAGCTCAGGTCATGATCTCAGGGTTGTGAGAAAAAGCTCCCCATCAAGCCCCCCATCGGCTCCGCGCTCAGAGGGGAGTCTACTTGAGATTCTTTCCCTCTGCCCCTCCCCTCACTGTGTGCATGCGCATGCTCTCTCTCTCTCAAAATCAATAATTTTTTTAAAAAAAATAGAAAAAAGGAACTTCTAAAACTAACATTATCATGATTTTTTTTAAAGCTGGGGTAGGGGCACCTGGGTAGCTCAGTCAGTTAAGGATCCGACCCTTGATTTTGGCTCAGGTCATGATTTCAGGGTCCTGGTGTGGAGCCCTGTGTCAGGTTCCACACTCAGCTCAAAGTCTACTTGGGATTCTCTCTCTCTCTCTCTCTCTCTCTCGCTCCTTCCGCCCCTCCCCCCACTTGTGTGGGTGTGGGTGTGTGCATGCGTGCGCGTGCGCACTCCTTCTAAAATACATAAATCATAAATCAAATCTTTAGAAACAAAACAAAACACAGAGGTTTATTTTAAGAATTAAATGAGACAGGGGTGGGGCACCTGGGTGGCTAAGTCAATTAAACGTCTGCCTTCGCTGGGGTCATGACCCCAGGGTCCTATGATGAGTGCTGCCTGGGGCTCCTTGCTCAGCAGCGAGCCTGCTTCTCCCTCTCCTTCTGTCCCTCCCCCGTCATGCTCATTAAAAAAAAAAATACATGGGGCGCCTGGGTGGCTCAGTCGTTAAGCGTCTGCCTTCAGCTCAGGCCAGGATCCCAGGGTCCTGGGATCGAGCCCCATATCGGGCTCCCTGCTTGGGCGGGAGGTGGGGGGGGGGAGCCTGCTTCTCCCTCTCCCACTCCCCCTGCTTGTGTTTCTTCTCGGGCTGTCTCTCCCTTTGTCAAATAAATAAGTAAATAAATAAATCTTTAAAAAAACAAATAAATAAGATGGGGGTACCTGGCTGGCTCCTTTGTTGGGAGTTTGAGACTCTTGATTTTGGGGTTCGAGCCCCATGTTGGGTGTAGAGATTACTTAAAAATCTTAAAAAAAGAAAGAATTAAATGAGATAGTACTTAGAAAGTGTTTAGAACAGTGCCTGAGACAGTGCTCTCTTTTATTGCTTGAAATAAAATGCAGGAGCTGAAAAAACCAGTAACCCAACCAAACCACTCCTCTCCAGAAAATCCTTTGTTGTTATCGTGGAGCCTAGATTACCCAGAGCCATGAGGTCTGTGCCAGGCACTGTGCTCAGGGCTTTCCGACCATGATCTCAGGGAACCTTTTTACCAACTCCATGGAGTAAGACCAAACCACTTTGGGACGGGGAAACTGAGTGTCGACAAAGTACTTTTCTGAGAATGAGGAAAGCCATCAGTTACCAGTACATCTTGGTATTCCTCTATTTAGCACATTAGGGCGCCGTGCACCTCACGGACACTCGGTACACATCTGTAGAAAGGCTGATTTATGCTTGACTGAAACTCACAGAAAAGTCCTGCGCCTCAACCTAAACGCGACGGGAGGGGACGATCATTCCACTAAGGCGGTAATAACATCCCCACCTCTCCTGCTCTCAAGGACAATGCGACGCGGGTGGTGCTTGAACCAAAGCCCACTTGTCCACATTAGGGAAAAAATGTTTCATTTGCACCAGCGATCCACACCCACCACCGCCGAGACCTCAAGATCCGGCACTTTCGCCATGCCCCGCCCCGCCCCGCCCTGCCCTGCCCTGCCCTGCCCCGAGCACGCGTCCTCGCTCCGCCCCGCACGGCCCGCGCACGCGCCGCTATACGAGCCGCAGCGTACCTGCGTAAAGCTGGAGGAGGATACTTTTTTCTTCTTACTAGTGCTGTAACCCCCAGCGCTGTTGCCGTTGTGGGAAGGACTGGCTGGCCTCTTCTTGCTGTTCCGGGCTATCCCCGGAGTGGAAGTGGTGGCCACAATTGGAATTTGAGCCGCCATTCCTACCCTGAGTCTTCCTCCTCCCCCGCCCCCACTTTCTCGGTTGCAGGCTTAGGAACTTCCGGCTCGCCCTTACTTCCGCCTTCAGGGGCGAAAATCCGGCCTGGACTCTCAACGCGTGCGCGGGTTTCTTCGGCCAACTCTAAAAGGCGGAGGTCGGAGCAGTCCAATCCGTGGAGGCCGGAGGGTGTCAGCCAGGCGGTGTCCTGCTCCTCAGGCTCTCTCAACCTGGGCACGTGCTAGGAAATTCGCCGTGATTGAGGAACAGAACATCTCGTGATCTTTTTTCAAACGCTGGATTCTTTTAAAAATTAATAACCGTGTTTTTTCTCACGTTAAGTCAGAAGACTGATCACTTTTTTTTTAAAGATTTTATTTATTTAAGAGAGAGAGAGAGCAGGAACACAAGCAGGAGTGAGAGAGGGAGAAGCAGGCTTCCCGTCTGGGCAGAGAGCCCGATATGGGGCTCGAGCTCAGGATCCTGGGATCATGACCCGAGCCTAAGGCAGATGCCTAACGACTGCGCCAGCCAGGCGCCCAAAGACGGATCACTTTTAATGTCTAAGTAAAGTTAGGGTTGTTCTGAGTGGATTGAACAGACTGCCAAGCTGCTGGCTTTCCCCGTGGTCTCTGCCTTGGCCTGCGGAACAAGTTTGTGTATATTGGCTGGGAGTCCAAATGGACTTTACCTTTTAGGAGCCCCAGACCACATGGAGCATGTAAGCCCCTCCCCCGCCCCCACCAAATGTATGGAGGTGTAGACAAAATCTTACATGTGGATTTCAGGGAATTCACAGATCTGCTAAAACCTAATTATGAACTTCGATGGGACACCCTCTCCCCCCCTTACTTGCCACATACTACATGGATTGCAGTAAGTTGGTTAATGTCTTTTTTTGGCTCCTGCTAGAATGTAAATTCTATGAAGTAAAGGCCAGTTATGTTTTTGTTCATTTACATTTTCTGGGTGATACTACCTTGCAAGTCTTTGGAACAAATTTTTCTTAAGTAATTCATAAATGAACAAATCCCCTGCAGTAACTAGTTGAAGCTATATGAATCTGGAGATTTGAAGGAAACAGGCTACAGAAGGATTTAAGAGGTGAGAGAGAAGAGTTAGGGAAACTAGCAACGATGTTACTTTTTTTCTCCTTTGGAGAAAGGAATGACCTACCAGTGTGGAAGTGTCCTCTCCCACACCCCAGTAGCCACCCTATCTTCATCTAAATCTAGTCTTCCTTATTCTTTACTTCAGTGACTGACACCTCCAACCAGTCGGTCACCTAAGCCAGAAGGTAGGTGTTGACCCAAGGCACCCCTCTCTAGTACCCCACCCCCCCAGCTCACTTCTCTCCTTTACTCCTACCCTGATGATTCCATCCCCCTTCATCTGGATTCCCTGCAACAACTTCCTGATGGAAGTTTGGGCTTCCATCTTTTCCTAATCCTCCCTGACCCCAAACCATCCTTCACACTGGCTGCCACAATGGTCTATCTGAATCACAAATCTAATCATGCTGTTGTTTTCTTGTATTCTTCAAGGCCCTTTTACCTTGAAATCCAAAGAATTTTTACCTTGGCGTATAACTGGGCTCTGCCCGCCCCCACCCCTTCCCTTGTTTCATTCCCAACAGCTTAATCCCCTGTGCTCCAGCCAGGGACTAACTCTATTTCCTAAATTGGAGGTGGTTTAACTCATCATACTTCCACTTTCATTACTTCCTCTCCTAGGACTTCTTAGCTCCTTTGCCTCCGTTCAAATGCTACTTCCAGCACAAAGCTTTCTGCCATCTAGTGCACCCCCTTCTCCTCTTCCTCCCCTGCCCCCACCCTTTGCACCCTTCTCTGAGAACTTTGAGCCCCAGAAGCTCTGCTGGGCTTCTCCCTGTAATCCCTTGTAAATGTTTGTGGAGTTCAAACACCAATTCCCTGCTTTTAAGGAGTCAGGCAAGTGGATGCACCACCATCTGGCTTCTGGTTGGTAAATTCAGTCCTGATCTTGTCTGAGCCCTTCTTCCTGAAACCCTTCCCTTGGGATCTGGAAGGCCACCATCCTTTTATTCTCCTCTCTCCTAACCACCTGTCCCCTTTTACAGTCGTCATCTTCTACCACGTGGGTTCTAGTCCTACTACAGGTTTTTCAAAATACAGGTTATATGGTCCTGTTCCCCCAGCAGATACCTATTACTAAAGTTTCCCAGGTGATTCTAATGATGAGCCAAGGTCTCCCTGCTGGCTCCATAGACACTGACAGTTCTCAGTGCTTGGTCAAAGTCTCTCTGCCCTCCTCAGACTGCACTTTCCCCAGCTGTTTCTCCAACTCATTGAGCCTCAGGTACCATCCAAATGCAGACCGCTTTCGGATTGGCTTCTGTTACGTGGGTCTTCCTCCAAAGATGCATACCCAGATATAAAATCCCCCGCCCAGATATAAACTCAGGATGCTTACAGGATCTCACACCCAGCATGGCAAAAACAATTCATCATCCTCCCTGATCCTCTAAAAGATGTTCCTCCTCTGTCTTTCCTATCAGCAAATGCCACCATTATACACCAGTTGTGCAAACCAGCAATCTGGGATTCACCCTTGCCTCCCCTCCTTCATCCACCTCCAGGCTGTAACCCACGGCAGCCTTCCTCTGTCTCTCAGGTTCCCACATCACCTTACTTGTCTCCCCACTTCCACCTCCAGTCCCTCCAACCCAGTCACCATTGGCGGTGCCCGGTGGCCTCTTTGACAACGCAAATATCCATATTTAGATCATGTCCTCTACTTGAACCCCTTCAGTGGCTTCTCGTGTCTCCTAGAATGAAGTTCAGTGTCCATAACATGGTTCCAAAGATCTTCGGAGACCTGCCCATCCATCTCTCCAGCCTTGTCTCTTGCTCAGCTCTCCACATTCCAGTTCGGTTTTCTTTTTTTTAAAGATTTATTTATTTATTTATTATTTATTTATTTATTTATTTATGAGAGAGAGAGAGAGAGAAACAGCATGAGAGGGGAGAAGCAGGATTCCCTGCTGAGCAGGGAACCCGATATGGGGCTGGATCCCAGGACTCCGGGATCATGACGCAAGCTGAAGGCAGACGCCTAACCGAGTCCCCCAGGCGCCCTCCAGTTCAGTTTTCACTTCGGTCCCTTCCACAGGCCCACTGGGCTCCCTCCTCCCTCATGGCCTTGACACAGATCGCTCCTGCTCTGGCCTGGAAGCCACTTTTCTCCCCCAGCGGCCCACCTCTGTCTCATTTACTCCCACCCACCCTTCCTATCTTGGCTGACGGGCGATTTTTTCTCAGCCTCCCCTACCCCTCCGTTCTGGTTAAAAGCGCTTGTTCGTGTTTCTTTCAGCGTCGGTCGTCGAGGACGCGTCGTCTGCGCATTCCATGCCGGGCGCTGAGGACGGAGACAAGGACATACGCAGGAAGAGAGACATTCGACTGGTCTTCTCGGCTGAACATAAACCCCCTGTGGGCAGTTGCCAGAGTCCTGGAGGACTGGGTGGCAGAGCACCGACAGAGGGTGACCGCAGGGAGAGTGAGCGGAAGGTGGGAGGATGGCCACGGGAGGGAGCGGAAGCCGTGGGCTGGGGAGAATCCTCGGCTGCGTCCGCCCCC